CTCTAAGTGCCTACAAAAAGAAACTGGAGAGAGCATACACTAGCAACTTGACAGCACACCTGAAAGCTCTAGAACAAAAAGAAGCAAATACACCCAAGAGGAGTAGATGGCAGGTAATAATCAAACTCAGGGCTGAAGTCAACCGAGTAGAAACAAAAAGAACTATACAAAGACTCAACAAAACCAGGAGCTGGTTCTTTGAGAAAATCAACAAGATAGATAAACCCTTAGCCAATCTAACCAGAGGGCACAGAGACATTATCCAAATTAATAAAATCAGAACTGAAAAGGGAGACATAACAACAGAAACTGAAGAAATTCAAAAAATCATCAGATCTTACTACAAAAGCCTATACTTGACAAAACTGAAAAATCTGGATGAAATGGACAATTTTCTTGACAGATACCAGGTACCAAAGTTAAATCAGGCCCAGATAAACCATCTAAACAGTCCCATAACCCCTAAGGAAATAGCAGCAGTCATTAAGTCTCCCTACCAAAAAAAGCCCAGGACCAGATGGGTTTAGTGCAGAATTCTATCAGACCTTCAAACTATTCTACAAAATAGAAACAGAAGGAACGCTACCCAATTCGTTCTATGAAGCCACAATTATGCTCATATCTAAACCACAAAGACCCAACAAAGAAAGAAAACTTCAGACCAATCTCCCTTATGAACATCGATGCAAAAATACTCAATAAAATTCTTTCACACCGAATCCAAGAACACATCAAAACAATCATCCATCATGATCAAGTAGGCTTCATCCCAGGAACACAGGAATGGTTCAATATTCGGAAATCCATCAATGTAATCCACTATATACACAAACTCAAAGAAAAAAACCACATGATCATCTCACTAGATGCTGAGAAAGCATTTGACAAAATTCAACATCCCTTCATGGTAAAAATCCTGTAAAGAGCTGGGCAGTGGTGGTGCATGCCTTTAATCCCAGCACTTGGGAGGCAGAGGCAGGTGGATTTTTGTGTTCAAGGCCAGCCTGGTTTACACAGTGAGTTCCAGGACAGCCAGGCTATACAGAGAAACCCTGTCTTGAAAAACCCAATTAAAAACAAACAAACAAAAAAAGTCTTGGAAAGATCAGGAATTCAAGGTCCATACCTAAATATAGTAAAAGCAATATACAGCAAGCCAGTAGCCAACATCAAACTAAATGGAGAGAAGCTTGAAGCAATCTCACTAAAATCAGGGACTAGACAAGGCTGCCAACCCTCTCCCTACCTATTCAATATAGTACTGCAAGTCCTAGCCAGAGCAATTAGACAACAAAAGGAAGTCAAAGGGATAAAAATAAGAAAGCAAGAAGTCAAAATATCATTATTTGCAGATGATATGACAGTATACTTAAGTGACCCCAAAACTTCCACCAGAGAACTCCTAAACCTGATAAACAACTTCAGCAAAGTGGCTGGTTATAAAATTAATTCAAAGAAATCAGTAGCCTTCCTCTACTTGAAGGATGAACAGGCTGAGAAAGAAACTAAGGAAATGACACCCTTCACAATTGTCACAAATAATATAAAATACCTTGTTGTGAATCTAACCAAGCAAGTGAAAGATCTGTATGACAAGAACCTCAAGTCTCTGAAGAAAGAAATGGAAGAAGATCTCAGAAGATGGAAAGATCTCCCATGCTCATGGATTGGCAGGATTAATATAGTAAAAGTGGCCATCTTGCCAAAAGCAATCTACAGATTCAATGCAACCCTCATCAAAATTCCAACTCAATTCTTCATAGAGATAAAAGAGCAATCTGCAAATTCATTTGGAATAAAAAAAAAACAACCCCAGGATAGCAAGAACTATTCTCAGCAATAAAAGAACTTCTGGAGAAATCACCATCCCTGACCTCAAGCTGTACTACAGAGCAATAGTGATAAAAAACTGCATGGTATTGGTACAGAGACAGGCAGGAGGATCAATGGGATAGAACTAAAGACCCAGAAAAAGGACAGCACTGTCAACAAATGGTGCTGGTTCAACTGGAGGTCAGCCTGTAGAAGAATGCAAATTGATCCATTCTTATCTCCTTGTACAAAGCTCAAGTGGATAAAAGACCTTCACATAAAACCAGATACACTGAAACTAATAGAAGAGAAGGTGGGGAAGAACCTCGAATGCTTGGGCACAGGGGAAAAGTTCCTGAACAGAACACCACTGGCTTATGCTCTAAGATCAAGAATTGACAAATGGGACCTCATAAAATTGCAAAGCTTCTGTAAGGCAAAGGACACTGTCAATAGGACAAAATGGCAACCAACAGATTGGGAAAATATCATTACCAATCCTACATCCAAATTAGACTCCAGACAACCAAATAACCCTATTAAAAAACAGGGTACAGAGCTAAACAAAGAATTCTCAACTGAGGAAACTCGAATGGCTGAGAAGCAAATGTTCAACATCCTTAGTCATCAGGGAAATGCAAATCAAAACAACCCTGAGATTCCACCTCACACCAGTCAGAATGGCTAAGATCAAAAACTCAGGTGATAGCAGATGTAGGCAAGGATGTGGAGAAAGAGGAACACTTCTCCATTGTTGGTGGGATTGCAAGCTGGTACAACCACTCTGGAAATCAGTCTGGCAGTTCCTCAGACTATTGGACATAGGATTACCTGAGGACCCAGCTATACCACTCCTGGGCATATAGTCAGAAAATGCTCCAACATATAACAAGGACATATGCTCCATTATGTTCATAGCAGCCTTATTTATAATAGCCAGAAGCTGGAAAGAACCCAGATGTCCTTCAACAGAGGAATGGATACAGAAAATGTGGTACATTTACACAATGGAGTATTACTCACCTATTAAAAACAATGAATTCGTGAAGTTCTTAATCAAATGGATGGATCTAGAAAATATCAATCATCCTGAGTGAGGTAACCCAATCACAAAAGAACACACATGGTATGTACTCACTGATAATTGGATATTAGCCCAAAAGCTCACAATACACAAGATACAACTCACAGACCACATGAAGCTCATGAAGAAGGAAGACCAAAGTGTGGGTGCTTCGGTCCTTCTTAGAAGGAGTAACAAAATACTCATAAGAACAAATATGGAAACAAAGTGTGGGACAGAAACTGAAGGAGGGGTCGTTTGGAGACTGTTCCACCTAGGTATCCATCTCCTGTGTAGTCCCCAAAGGCTGATGCTGATATGGATGTCAGGAAGTGCATGCTGACAGGAGCCTGATATAGCTGTCTCCTGAGAGGTCTGCCAGAGCCTGACATATACAGAGGTGGATGCTCACAGCTAACCATTGAACTGATCATGGGGTTCCCAATGGAGAAGGGAGAGAGAAGACTGAAGGAGCTGAAGGGGTTTGCAGCCCCATGGGGAGAGCAACAATACCAACCAACCAGAGCTCCCAGAGTCTAAAGCATCAGCCTGGGAGCACATAGGAAAGGCCCCATGGCTCTAGCTGTATATGTAGAAGAGGATGGCCTTCTCAGGCATAGGTGGGAGGAGATCCTTGGTGCCATGAAGGCTGGACGCCCCAGTGTGGGGGAATTTGAGGGCGGGGAGGTGGGAGTGGGTGGGGCCACATCCCCACAGAAGCAGGAGGAGGGGGAATGGGATAGGGAATTTCTGGTGGGGTGGGGGGGGGGGGAAGTGAGGAAAGGAGATAACATCTGAAATGTAAATAAAATATCCAATTAAAAAAAAAAAAAAAAGATCTCACATGTTCCGTGTCCCCAAATCAGCTGTGAAGACTGTGACAGAGCCAGCATTGCCATGGGTAGGCTGCTAGCTATTGTGATCACTATCAACACAAAGGCCAATGCTCTGCTGGGAAGACTCTGCAAGACTGTTTGAAAGTGACCAGTGTGACCCACCTCCTAACGGTTCACCAGCTCCTGTCCTCAGACCCTCTGCATGAGGAGGTGCCACAGTTCGCGTTTCTCACTTGGGAAATGAATCAGCAAGTGAGCGTGCTACTTACTTTTTACTTAGCATCATACATATTTACAACATCCAAGTTCTTCTCAGTAAATAAAAACATCAGCAGCATTTAAATAACATTATCACAGAATTCACCACTGTGAGTTTTCAAGCATGTAATTTCAAATACCTTGGAAAACTGAGAGTGTGACCAAATTCAAGGCCCATTTTGCTCTTGTTACAGTATCAGGAAGAGGACATGATCACTAGATAATTCTTTCACAAATGGCAATAGTGTACTACTGTTCTGAAAAACATAACCATTCAAAACATTCCCATGACCTCGGCTTACAGAGAAAAAATAATGCCCCTCAGGAGAGATAAAGCAAGTGAAGCAGGTTTTAGAATAACAGAAATCTTGATCCAGAAAGCTTGATCTGGCTGTGGAGAGGTTCATAGCAAAACATTTGTTATGTGTGCATAACAACCTTATTTTGGATCCCTGAGATACCTAAAACTGGGCCTGCAGTAATGCTATGTAATAATCCCAGAACACAGAGACAGACAGACACAGACAGGCGCACGCTTGCACACATACACACACACACCACACACACATACACACACACATACACACACACATACACACACACACACACACATACACACACACCACACACACATACACACACAGACCCAGAGAGAGAGAGAGACTTGGAACCCAGGGAAGGAGCTGCTGAAGCCTGAGACCAGGATGGGACCACTGAACCCAGGATGGGACCACTGAACCCAGGATGGGACACTGAACCCAGGATGGGACCACTGAACCCAGGATGGGACCACTGAACCCAGGATGGGACACTGAACCCAGGATGGGACACTGAACCGTATCCCTAGCCCTTAACGAATTATTATCATTTCAGAGCGGTACCAACTCTCTGTTGTGTCATGTAGGGTACTGAGAGTACTAAGTCACTGGGGAATTCTGACAGTGTTTCTTTCTCACATAAAAGCAATGGAACTGGCCGCTTCCACACAAACAGACACACACACAGGATCGTATGTGAACAGAAGCATTTACCTTCTGCCCTTCTCACAAAGCTTCTCGATTTCAGCTTTCAGGTCCTGCTCCTTCTGCAAGAACTCCTTCTTTTCTTTCTCTATCTTCTTCTTGGTTTCTTCTCGCTTTATGGTCACATCCTGAATAGCCTTTAGTATCTCCTAAATCCCATGTAATTAGTCACACAAAGGAAGAAAGAAAGAAAGGTTAGCTTTTAGTGTTTAGAGAGATCAAATGCTCTTCTGTTGTGTCTAAAGACAGCTACAGTATATTCATATATATAAAATAAATAAATAAATCTAAAAAAAAGAATCAATTTCATTGACTGATGTAAAAGTCAAATCTCTGAGGAAAGTCATATGAACATAGACTTCAACTCCATAGGTCTAAGCATCTTTGAAAAATAAAATGTGGGTCTAGAGAGATAGCTCAGTATTTAAAAGCACTACTTTTCCAGAGGACCCAGGCTCAATACCCAACACCCACACAGCGGCTCACAACTGTCTCTGGTTCCGAGGGATCTGATGCCTTCTTCAGGCCTTCCAGGGCACTTGATACAAGTGGCGCACAGACGTAAATAAATGCGAGATACCCATATACATAAAATCAAATAACCTTTAAAAACTGGGGTGTGAGACTGGGGAGAGCTCAGGCAGTAAAGTACTTGCCGTAAAAACATAAGGATGAGTTTGATTCCTAGAACCCCCATAAAATAACTGGGTGTGGTAGCATGCCCTTGTACTCCGGGACCTAGAAAGGCAGAACCAAGGGATCCTTGGAGCTTACTGGACAGCCGGCCTAGCTCTAGGTCCAAATGAGAGCTTCCGTCTCAAATCACAAAGTGGACAGGGCCTACGGAGTGACCTCCACATACATGCACACATATCTGCATGCATACTTGTGTGTATACACATGAACACACACACACAATGGGACTGAAAAGTGGAATGTCCTGGCTTGTGTAGCACTGTGCTCTGTATTGCTGGTGGTCCAAAAAAGACTGAACAAACACCCGCCAAGAATACTGAGAAAGGAACTCTTGCTTCAAGCTAGAATTTGCTACACCCAACAGAGATGTTCTTGTTTTATTATAGTTCTGCTTTGATTATAAGTAGAATTTTCTGTTTGTTTGCTGTGCTGGATGGTTTTACATCAACCTGACACAAGCTAAAGTCATCTGAGAGGAGAGAACGTCAGTTAAGAAATTGCACCCATAATATCAGATTGTAGATGGGCCTGTAAAGCATTTTCCTGATTAGTGATTAGTGGGGAAGGGCCCAGCCCATTGTAAATGGTGCCATCCATCTATGGGCGGGTGGTCCTAGGTGCTACAAGAAAGCAGACTGATCACCTAGTGGTGGTGGTACACGCCTTTAATCCCAACACTCAGGAGGCAGAAGCAGGAGGATCAAGGCCAGCCTAGTCTACAGAGTGCATTCCAGGATAGCCAGGGCTATATAGAGAAGCCCTGTCTCCAAAAAAAACAAAGAAGAAAGACAGAAAGAGCAGGCTGAGCAGTCAGGTGGGGCAAGAAAGTAAGCGGCTCCTGCCTCCAGGCTCCTGCCCTGTCTGACTGCCTGTTCTGACTTCCTCCCATGATGAACAGCGACATGAAAGTGTAAGCTGAATAAAGTCTTTCCTCCCCAACTTGCTTTTGGTCATGGTGTTTCATCACAGCAACTGTAACCCTAAGACATTTGCTCTCTTACTACATAACAACAAGAATAAATACATGTATGAGTACACTCATAAGACTGTACAATACAAAGTTCATCACCTGTGACAATTACCCCTTTTCTCTGTGCTAAGGGATTTGGGTTATGCTTCCACAGTTTGCTCACAGTTGGCTGGGTGGTGCTAGAGGCCCACACACGAAGCACACGTTACTTCTAAGCTATATTCTTGGCCCATTTTTCCATTTCTAGTCAGGCCATTTAATATTCATTTTACATCTTTTTCTTTTTCCATTCAGCATAACCACCTTATGTCAATACAGACATAACTAAATCATATGGACATTTCCAGGCTATTTAACCATTCTGTTCAAAGTTCATCAGGCTGACTGAAACTAAGAAGCTACTTTTCCAACCTAATCGAAAGGTGGCTGAGACAGCCTGTAACCCGGGCTAGCCTCATATTCATGATGTAGCTGAAGATAACCTTGAACTCCTGATCTTCCTGCCTCTGCATTAGAACGTTGAATTTTAGAAATGTGTCACTTAAGCTTTTAAGGAACAACGTAATAAACATTCTCAATGTCCATTCATGTACAAGTTTGCATCTGTAGAATGAACTCCCAATAAGACTGCGTGGCCAAATTCCTTCCTATGTATTTACAATTTTAATTGCTAGGCTTCCCACATTTCCAAAAGGAGCATGATAGTTCCCAGCCCTCATCAGCATGTCTCCTCACCCGCGACGGCACTCTTCTGACTACTTAGTACAGCTGCTTCTTGCATTTGAGGTTTTTACTTTTCTAGTTTACGTTTTCCAGTTTTTAGATGTTGATTTAATCTAAATGAAACTATATTTTTGCATGAGACAGGAAACTAAATAAATGTTTACTAGTCAACAAAAGTCAACAAAATATTTTAAGTAAATAATCTTTTTTGTCTCTAAACTAAAATAGAAGAAGAGTCTGAACAAGATGTCCTCAATGCTTTTTTTTTTTTAACATTTTAAGTTCTTTTGAAGATTTAGAAAAAGTTATCTGTATATGTATGTGTCTGTGCTCATGTGAGCGCATGTGTTCAGAGTCCAGAAGAGAGTGCTGGGTCCCCTGAGACTGAATTACAAGCAGTTAGTTATAGGTTGTGAGCCGCCTGACAAGGGTGCTGGGAACCTAACTCAGGTCCTCTTCAAGGGCAGCAACATCATGTCTAAGTAGCTGAGCCGTCTCTGCAGCTTTCCTTATACTAAGATCTGATAATCCTGTCATGGTGGTCTATGCAGGAGGATCTAGACTTCAAGGCTAGCCTAAGCTACACAAAGTCTGTAGTCTCAAAATTAAACCAAACCCAAGAAATACTAACTTTCTTTCCTTTTTTTGAAGATTTATTTATTTTATATATGTGAGAATACTGTAACTGCCTTCAGACACACCAGAAGAGGGCATCAGATCCCATTACAGATGGTTGTGAGCCATCATGTGGTTGCGGGGGAACTGAACTCAGAACCTTTGGAAGAGCAGTCAGTGCTCTTAACAGCTGAGCTATCTCTCCAGCCTTGATTTTCTTTGTTTTTAAAGAAACTATTTGAAGTTTGATCAGAGATGGTTATTTTACTCATTAGCAGTGTGTGTGCATGTATAAACACGTACATACATACTTTTCTTTTGAGGGGTGGATTTTTTTTTCTGCGATACCTTTTCACTACACAGGCCTAGCTATGCTCCCAGGCCTGGAGCTTGCTATTTTGACCAGGCTGGGCTCAAACTCACAGGTCTCCATCTCCCTCTGTCTTCAGAGTGCTGTGATTAAAAGCATGTGCCAACTCTTTTGCCTATACACAAGTCATTAAATCTATGTTGGGCATATCAGAGAAGACACATAATACTTATCTGAGTTGTGATTCTTTTCCTTCCTTCCTTTCTTTTTCTTTTGTGGTTCTGGGAATTAAACCCAGGTTGCTGAGAGTGCTAGGCAAGCACTCTACCACTGACTACATCCCCAGGTCAGGCCTGCAGACTACCTGGTGGTTCCACTGACTACATCCCCAGGTCAGGCT